GCTTGCAGGCTTAGCATAAAAACATTGTGCTGAAACCACAGAGAGAGAGAGGGGAGAGGAGAAGAAAGGAAGAGCAGGGTGCAGCTCCCAGGGATGCAGATCCTCTGCTGCATGGCCTAGCCTTGGGAGCTGCTGGTTAACTCATGCCCAGCTCTGCCTGGTTGGGCAGCATTGCTTAATGAAAGGAAAAATGCCACCTTATGCATCCAGCTTGCTGCAAAGTGCTGCTCGGTTCCCTTCCCCTGTTCATGCTGAGGGTCTCTGTGTGCCCAATGAGCATCTTGTCTGGTTTTCCGGTCCCTGTCCTGATCCCCTCCAGCCAGCTGAGACCACTGATATGGGCGGCTGTATTCCCTACCTGCTGGATGCCTGCTGCTCTCTCCCCTCGTTCTCTGGTCACAGTCTCAAGGCCTAGGGTGGCGTCACAGAATGGTTTAGGTTGGAAGGGACCTCAAAGCTCAACCAGTCCCAACCCCCTGCCATGGGCAGGGACACCTTCCACCAGACCAGGTTACTCCAAGCCCTGTCCAGCCTGGCCTTGAACACTGCCAGGGATGGGGCAGCCACAGCTTCTCTGGGTACCCTGTGCCAGTGCCTCACCTGGCTCACTGAAGAACTTCTTCCTCAGGTTTAATCTAAATAATCCCCCCTTTGTCAAGTTAAAGCCATTCCCCTTGTCCGGTTCCTACAGGCCATTTTCCAAAGCCCCTCTCCAGGTTTCTTGTAACCCCTTTACGCACTGGGAGCTGCTCTAAGGTCTCCCCTTAAGGAGCCTTCTCTTCTCCAGGCTGAACCAGCCCGGCTCTCTCAGCCTGTCTCAGAACAGAGGTGCGGTTTTGTCCCTTCCTGCATCATCATTAGAGAAGCTGTTCAGTCCTGTCTGGATTGCACCAGCTCTGGGCAGCACTGTCCTGCCTCAAGGGACCATTTCAGGGTGCTCCTTGGAAGCCGTGCCCAGGTCTCACATAGCATTGGCAAACTTGTGCTCAGCTTTGTTGCTTTTCTCCCAGAGAATAAGTTTTGGGAGCAACACCCTTGGTCTCCTGTGGGATGATCCTTCCTCCATGCATCAGCAGATATAAAGAGTGCACTCGCTGCTCTGGGGAAGGCTGAGCATCCGTTGCTGCTGCTTGCAGGAAGGGTCTGGCTCCAGGTCCTATGTGTCTGTCTTTCAAAGCCTTACTTAGCTTTGGAGCCTGGAAAAGGCTCTCTGGGGAATCTTGGCATGGAGACCACGGCTTCCAGGCTAAGTCGCCGGCGCTTCTGCTTCCACTTGTGACCTTAACAACACATCCTGATGGCAATTGTTCTCTGGGCTGGAAATCCTGTCTGCCCTGCTGCAGGACTTGTGCTCCCAAGCAGCTTGAGGTCTGCGGTCAATGTAGTCAAGCCTTCCCGCAAGGGAAGTCACTCTCGCCCTACTTCTCAGTGGCAGCCACCTCTCTGGCTCCACTCCCTGGGCTTGGCTGCTCGGCAGCAGTCGCTTTAATGTCCTTAAATATTCCTCATTAAAAAAAAATAAAGCCAACTGGGGTGTGAGGAGACAAAAGAGGAGGAAGCCAGGAATTGCCATAAGTAGCTTTGAAGGGGTTTTTGTTTAATATTCATTTATTTCCTGGCTTAGAAAGCAACTTGGTGGAAACTGTCTTGAAGCTCAACCTGGGTCATGCCTGGGAAGTGGAAACCCTTCAAGCCATTTTGGGTCTGTGCATATTGCTGAAAGCCCATGGCCAGGAGGGTCAAAGGACTCTCTCAATCTGCTGATTTGGCTTCTCGAGCTTAGTTGTTTTCTTTCCTTTTGCCCCACAGCCCTGTAGGATTGTGAGAAATCATGTAAGTAATCACCGGGGCACATTACTTAATGCCTTGACTTAGGTTGCCTTTTCGCTATGTTTGCACCACTGACATTGGTCTGTGTTCCTTCCTGACTAACACAGTTTTGAGGCCTTGGAAACTGAACTTGGATGATATCCACCAGGCAAGAGTTTCAGCAAAGCATTTAAGTTCTGACATCTCTGGGGAAATAGATTGACCATTTCTTGATCCAGAGAAGGGGAAATATCAGAGGTTGTGCCATGGTGAGTTTTTCTGGAGAAAGCTGAATTCGTCAGTGTGATGAGTCAAATGCTGTGATTCAGCCTTCCCACAACACATGAAGCACCCGGAAACATGTGGAAGTTTCTCTTGCTTGAAATTCTGGTCCAGAGGGTACATTTGGGCTGTATAACTCATTTTTAGGTTCTTTTTAGAGAGAAACCTGCACTTGATCACTGAAACAACTCATTTGGTCACTTTTCTTAAAACAGGGAGATATTAAGGAAACTAGCTTGCAAGTGCCTAGCCCGAAGAAAGACAGCAGGAGCCCATGGCATCGTCTTGTTCATCATGTCGTCTTCTTGCCCAACCCCTGTGAATTATCTGACACCCCAAGGATTAGTGGAAAACCCAGTAGCGGATGTTCTAGCAATCTCTTCGAGTTAGTATTCCAGCTGAGGCTTCATGCGTGCACGTTTCTGTAGCCAGGGAATGAATGCTGGGTGTAGGACATGCTCCAGCCGCCCAGCCTGGGCTTTGGAGACCCATGACCGGTTCTGATCATTCAGAAAGCAGTTTGATGAGTACCTCTGCATAATTAGCAGAAGCTTTGCTAGAAACTGAACTGGGAAAACCCACGGGAAGTTAAGTGCAAGCCTTCAGCAAGACAATGCTTAAGAGGTGATGTTTCGCTTAGGAATATTAATAGAAGGTGTTGCTCTCTTCTGCAGGCCTGACTTCACTGCTCTAATGATACCGGTGTTGGTAAGTGCTGTTGTTTTATCCATCACTTATAAAATTTGCACTCACTTGAAGCATCGGGGAAGCTGGTATGAGGAACTGAGGAATCACATTGAAAAGATGCAGCCAGTTTCATGGCATAAGTGTGAAGGGTGAGAATGGGACCAGATAGGTGTTTTCAAAACCACACCAGTAAGAGATCAGCTGGTTTGGCTTTCTTTTGCATCCGTTTTCTTGGATTTTAGGGGCAAGGTTGTGGTATATTCATGCTTGGCCTTGGCACGGCAGTGACAGCTTGCTCCTGTTTTCCTGACTACAGCCTCATGATACCCCCATGGGAAACTGTTGAAAGTCAGCCCAGGTCTTCCTGCCTGTTCCAGTCCTTTCCAAGATGCTTTTCTTCACAGACAACCAGGGGCTATGGGTCTCTTCCTTAGCTTTAACAATGCTGCAATTGCCTCTTCAGCTGTGAACTTGTATGGTCTTCACTGGAATCCTTGTGAGCCCATTAAGAAGTGGGATCTGTGCTTCAGGTTTTGGGTCTTTTTGTCTCACATTTTGAAATGCCCTTGAACATTGTACGGGTTAAGCTGCTGTTGCAGTCAGATTTGCAGAAGCTAAGGTGATCCTGGACTGTTTCTTCTCCAGAACACCCCCAAGCCTGGGTTTGGGCTGAGCCTGTATCTTCCCCAGGAAGGCTGCCAGTCTTGGCTTGATCACCACAAGGGAGGGAGAACCATTTAATCACTTCCACTGCTGAATAGTGTGGACTTATGATTTGGCTTTATCTCCAAGTCACAGGGGAAGATGCTATTTCCCTGGAAGCTAGGGACTGGAGGTCCAAACCCCTCTTTGAAACACTGGCTGCCCAAACCCCTCTGAGGTGCTCTCAGATCCACTCCCAGAGGATCTCACCTCTTCACTGGCCCCAAGAGCCAAGGAGTGTCTGGCTGAGAGTGGGTTGAGTAGCTGGGATTCAGGACACTGGCATGTAGGGTATTTGCTAGAGCAGGCAAGCCACTGAGCCCTGCAACATGTGGTGCCCAGCCAAGCCCCTCTTGCCTTGGGAGAGGCTTCCTCAGTGAGTGTGCAGCTGATGGAGGACCTGGTTTGTGCCCAGATAAGGGACTGAAGGTTTTTGACTGCCAGATGGAAGTTGTTGTCTTTTGTAATAGTATTAGAAACCTGATGACTTTTTGCTATTTTCACCCATATTTAACAGGGCTTTGTCAGAAGCAAGTCAGCATGAGGTCTTGCAGAAGCTCATCCAGCAGTTGGTAAGCAAGTCAAGAGGTAGAAGGATCTTGGAGCAGTAATCAGGGAGGGAAACCAGAAGAGAGAATGGGTGTGCTGAGCTGGAGCACTGGCACCTTCCCTCTGCAGGCGTGCTTTGCCTTTTTGCTACAAGTAACTCTTGGGGAAGATAATGCTTCACGTGTGCATGGCTGCTGTGAAGCCTCCGGGAATAGACAAAGAGGAAACCGCAGGGCATCAGCCACAGTTTGCATGGTTTCTATTGCCTAGATTGGGGTTTTGTGGCTGGGATGAGATCAGATCTTCCCTGTGAGGATGCTGAGGCACTGGCACAGGGTGCCCAGAGAAGCTGTGGCTGCCCCATCCCTGGCAGTGCTCAAGGCCAGGTTGGATGGGACTTGGAGCAACCTGGTCTAGTGGAAGGTGTCTCTGCTCATGGCAGGGGGTTGGAACTGGATGAGCTTTAAGGTCCCTTCAATCCAAACCAGTCTGGGACTCTATGAGGAAGCAGTGGCTGTAAGGACAGTGGGATGAGGTGTAGGTGGCCTTGTGGGGAAGGAGGGATGGTGCAGCTGGAGACCTCTGCAGAAGGTAGGGCTGCAGCAGGTCCTGCCCCAAACCAGCCACGTGTGTCAGAGGGTGGCACCTTTGGGCTTCTTTTGATTAAAAATTGCATGTTTTCTGCATAAGGGGGTTATGAAAAGCCTGAGATGTGAGAATCTTCGTGTTAACTGACAGCTTAGCTCCGTGCTCATCCATTTCTGCAGACCAGGGGCTGGCCCTTTGCTTATGAGAAATGGCTTTCCATGTGAACTGAGATCATCTGATAGAACTTACTGATTTAATACAAATTACTCCCTTGCAGCTTGCTGTGCACGTGCTTGCCTGTTCTGGGGAGATTTTTCTAGCAGAGAACGTGTTTTGGGAGGAATCTGCTTTCTCTAAAAAACCCCAGACAGCCGCCCTCTTCTTCACCCCCAAATCCAGCTGCTTTCAGGCAAAAAAACAAAAGGTGGGGATGAAGCTGCACCCCTCGCTCTACCCACCTCCCTTTGTGTTTCCTAAGCCCATGAAACTGGGTGCGGAAGGGAGTTCCCTACCCCAGAAATTTAAGGATCAGGTTGGTTGTGCCGACTCTGTGCCAGCCAGTTTCTGTAAGTGGACGGTGCATGAAAAGCCCCTTTGAGAAGCTCTAATCACCAGCGTAACCAACATGAAAAGTTGCTTCTGGAAAAAGTGCTTTCTTCCTGCCTTTTAACAGCCAACTGCAGGGTGTTCCTGGTACAGCACAAATATTTTCAACAGGCTAAATAATTATCTTTAATTAGTTTTCATTAGGGTGATGCCAATCCACCCCTCTCTTTGGAAACTCGCTTAGCTCCTGAAATGGCTTGAAAACAATGAAGCAGGGAAAATACTCTGCTCGAGCTGCATTCATTTCCATCCACCACAGGAAAGAAAGGGACCACCAGACCCTTTGGGCTTTGCAAAGGAGGCTGGAGTGAGTTTAAAATAGTTGGTCTCTGTGATTTGTTTTCATTTTCACTTCCAGAGCAAAAGCTAATGCTGGGATTGCTCTCTGTTCTTCACTATCCAGAGGCAACGGCATCACAACCCCGGTCCTTCAGTGATGTTTTCTCCTGGGCCACATTCCCACCGTGGCTTGTGGCCATCAGGACCACCACAGCGGCAGAGGCGAGCCTGGGGCAGCAGCACGGGAGTCTGCATCTCCTCCTGTGCTAACAGGGTGCAGGCAGTTCTTATCACATCCCTGTGTGTCTTCCTGGCCCTGACCTGCTCCATAAGCAGAGGAAGGATGGGGAGGTGATTGCCTGTGGTCTGTGTTGAGTGCCAGCACAGATAACAGCCTGGCATTGTCAGGTTTTTGGCTCTGGCATGCAAAGCTCAATACATAGGTGAGGTGAGCGTTTTGAGCAGTGGGGTGTAGTTGCCTGGTGCGCAATGCTTAACCAAAACACATCTCTGTTGCTCCATCTCCATGTCAGGAGTGCATGTGCACCCCCTGCACATTCTCCACCAGCTGGGTAGGATACAGGCACGATTGGGCCAGACCAGGTCCAGGATCACATTTCTGGATAGGGCCAGCACCAGCAGACACTGGGAGATGGGACCAGAAAGCACAAGAACCCCATGGCATGTAGGCATGGAAGGTACCCACCTTGGTCATTGAAAGCCACCAGATGTCCTGCTGGGGAGACAGAAGGGTGTCTGTGTTATATTGTCTGCACCATCAAGCTGGCATGAACACAGCTGTTGTGGATCCTTGGTCCTCACTTGCTCTATCTACTACTGTGTAATTGGTTTCCATTTCCACCTTAAATCTACAGTGCTTGTTTCCAAATGATGTGTTTTCACACTGATTTCCTGAAGTTCTGGGGTGGTTTTTTTTGTCTCATTTCTACTATTTCTGCATACAGCCACCTCTTGGTCTGGTCCTGGTCCAAACCCTGTCAGTGATAAGGGGAAATTCCCCATCAGACAGAGGAAACCATCCCAGCATTCCAGGCAGACTTTCCAAAGTATTTTTAATGAAGGGCACACACCCTCTGAGCCCGATGAGTGTCCTGTTTACCTTTCCTCATGGACTCTGCAGGCTGCAGGAGAAGGGGGGAGATGTCCTGGCATCAGCTGGCCTGAGGAAAAGGGGAATTACTCTGGGAATGTTTGAAGGAAGACCCTGTCCTGGCACTTCGCTGAGTCAGGAGGATGCCAGCAGCAGAGGTGAGGCTTCCTGGGATGGGGTAGCAAAAGAAGGTAAAAAACATATGAGACTTGGCAGTGTGTGGTGGGGAAGGCTCTGCTGTAACGAGCTATGGCTCTTCTTTCTCTCTTCTCACTCTGTATATGTTGGGTTTACTCTGTGTCATAAGAGTATGTGAATAGGAGTGTTCTGTGAATAGCAGTAGTCCAGTAAGCGGAAAGGGACTCCATGCTGCAGAGGAAAATGTTGGCATGGGGAACCCATCAGAGGTATCTTGTGCTCCTCCAGGCTGGAGGAGGCAGGGAAACGCTGTGGTCTTGTTGCCTGGGGTGCAAAGTCCTCTGCAGGAACGGAAAAACAGCTGGAAGCGCAGCCCTTTCAAGTCCTCTTGTGCTGATGACCTGTGAGGAGGATGCCAGTTTCTTCTTTCAGGTGTATAATACTCTCTTTCCCAAACCTCTGTCTCTGGACCATAGCGCAGCAGAGCAGGAGACACCATCACCCTGCACCCAGCACGAAAACACAGCTGCTTTGTCCATCTGGATGGTACCATCTGCAGTGCAGGGAACCTGCTGCCTGTACCCATCCCAGATGCTTATTCAATGGCTTGTGTTTACACCAGGCTGTAACCTTCCCCCTATTTCTCCCAGATATCACAAATTGTTAAAACCTCTGGAGTTTCTACTTATCCCCAGCTTTGTATTGCACCCTTGGTGTCTCCTCTGAGAGTTTTCCTGGCTGACAGGACAAGTCAAGAGCTAGACTGGTTTATGTGCCTGTCCTTGGGTCTTTCCCCACCTCTTGGAGGGGGCAGCAGCATTCAAGGCAGGGTACTGAATCCCAACTGAAGACTCTGCCTCCCAGGTTCAGGCACTGAGCGACAGTCCTTTCACATCCCACAGCTCTTTGCAGTGTGGTATCTGCATCTGCCCGTGCCTGGGCTCTTTGCCAGCCCTGCTGGGTGGGAGCAGGATCTCATGCTAAACATAGCAGGGATGGAGGCAGGTGCGGAGGGCCAGGTATGGGTTTGTCTGAAAGGCATTTGATTTTGCAGCAGGTCAGGGGTAAGTCAGGATTAGTGCTGACCATGTGGTCCATTGCTGTCCTGAAAAATCACAGAGAGCCTTTGACAGGTGGTGGGGATGATGGAGGCTGGAGAAGAGCTGCTGGTTTTTAATGGGATTGTGTTTTCTGGCTCTGAGCTTGCCTGCACAGCCCTACTCTCCTCTCTGGAGGGCAGGAGCAGAGCAGCAGGTGCTTGGGACTCAGTTAGAGCTCTGCATACACCAGGACCTGCTGGGACCATGCACATGGTGGCCAGAAACAGCAGACACGTTTCCCTTCTCTTTCAGCAGGGACGTTAATCTGAACTTGTGCTCCCTGCCAACAGCCAGTGCCAGCAACCTCTGCGGGAAAGTGAGCAAGGAACCTGCTTTCTGCTGCTTGGATGCACCAAGTGATACCTGCACTGTGGTTTGTGGAAGCAGAGGGGTTCTGGGTTAGTCTTAATTTCTCGTGGCATCTTCCTCTCCCACCGCTTCTGCTTCGTTTGTGCCCAGACTGAGTTTGAGTTGGTGCCGTTCATCTGAGGGCAAATCTCCTGATGGGACTGGAAAAGTAGTTGGGTCTCCAGGTGCTTGTAAGACCCTCAATGCAAGGGCCTCTGGGGATGGGAGGAGGTAGCCTGAGTCATGAGAGAGGAACTGCTACTCCACCTATTCCTCGCTTGGTCTAGCAGGGGAGACAGCTCAATCCCAGAGATCCAGCCTACAAGCGATGAGTCAGCCATTGTCCAGAGAGTCTCCATGGGACAAACATCATCACGTCTTTCCTTGGCTATCTCCTCAGCAAATTCATCCTTCAGCTGGCCTGGCAGCTTCTCCTCCTGTTTTGTTTGCCGCCTCTTGGTCGCAAAGTGCTGTCACTGGAAGGGGAAGTGTTGATGATGCCTCTCAGTCTATTCTACCTAATTTTAAACCTTTGTAAAAGGGTTTCCTTTTCTGTCTTTGTGGCTTCATTGTGTTCTGTGATAAATTAGGAATAGAAAAAGTCACATGAGGAAAGCTGTTGTCTGATATTTGGTGCCATGGTGAGATGCACTATTGTTGTGATGAAGACCTTGTGCCAGAGCAGCCCTGTTCTACTGTTGGTCATCCTCTCTGCAAGAGACAGGTTTTTCTTTCCTACAGCAGCTCCCCAAAGGAGTGGGGAAGGAGGCAGGAGTGGGATGGGATGACACGTTTCTCTTCCCAGTTGAATGTTTCCAGTCAAGAGGCTCTTTGAGAAGTGTGCCAGTGCACTGATAACATAGACATGTTTCAGGAAGCAGTTCCCAGAACTGGCTTGACACTGCTGTGACCTGGGCCAACTGCTGTCCTTGCAAAAGAAAGAAAAGTGAAGCCAGAGGTCAAACAACAGGAACAGGCATTGAGGAAATGATCCCTCGCTGAAATTAATGAACTCGCAGGATAACATGCCATTCAGGGTGAGTCACTGCTTTTCCTTTCATGGTGCTGAGGGGAGCACGAGGCTGTGGGGTTTCTGGGCATCAGGGAAGAAGGGGTCTGTGCCAAATGGGGTGAGGATTTCAGTGGTTCCTCACCAAAAGAAAGACTCAAGAAGTGATGGCTTGACAGCCCCCAGTGACAACATCCCAAAGGCTGTTTGCGGAGGGCTCATCAGCTGGCCTCCAGAAAGTGCATTGATGTCCATGTAGATTTCCATCATTCTTGCCAGGCATTGACTAATCTTGCCAGATTAGGTGATCCTGCCCCTTTATTCTGCTCTCGTGAGACCTCACTTGGAGTATTGTGTACAGTTCTGGTGTCCTCAACATAAAAAGGACATGGATCTGTTGGAACAAGTCCAGAGGAGGGCTACGAGGATGATCAGGGGACTGGAGCACCTCCCATATGAAGACAGGCTGAGAAAGTTGGGGCTGTTGAGCCTGGAGAAGAGAAGGCTGCATGGAGACCTCATAGCAGCCTTCCAGTATCTGAAGGGGGCCTGTAGGGATGCTGGGGATGGACTCTTCATTAGGGACTGTAGTGGTAGGACAAGGGGTAATGGGCTACAACTTAAACAGGGGAAGTTTAGATTGGATATAAGGAGGAAATTCTTTCCTGTTAATGTGGTGAGGCACTGGAATAGGTTGCCCAAGGAGGTTGTGAATGCTCCATCCCTGGCAGCGTTCAAGGCCAGGTTGGATGAGGCCTTGGGTGATATGGTTTAGAGTGAGGTGTCCCTGCCCATGGCAGGGGGGTTGGAACTTGATGATCTTAAGGTCCTTTCCAACCCTAACTATTCTATGATTCAGATGAAGCTGCTCATCCTAAATGCCAGCTCCATGAGGAGATGTGATAAAAGAAGGGAACTGCAGAAGTACTGTGAATTTCTAAATGCTGATCAAACCCCGTTAGTGCAGGCATTGGCCTCTGCCATTCCACCCATATGGTGATGGTGTGTGGCCCTCCCTTCAGGTGAGAAGCTCAAAGTCTCTTCTCTAAGGAGCAGCAGCTCCTGTACCTCTCTTTTTGCCTAAGGTGCAGAAAAGCCATTTAAAGTGCCACTTCCAAGGGAAAACAGGTCCCTGAGCTGTCAGCTCACTCTTGAAATGATTGACTTTGTGTCATCTTCAGTGGAACACCTTTGACCCCATCCCTTTTTATGCTGGAGCATACCTTCCCCTACGGTTTCTCAGGCTTCCAGCTCTGTGTTTGCAATGTCTCTGTGCAGCCAACCAGTGTGACTCCTATTAGTTGAATCTCAGCCGTGCCTTTTACTCTGGGGTTCAAACCTTGTGGCAGATCCTTTACCTAATGTTCAGCTAGAGATGTAAAATACAGACTAGGAACACAATGTTCCTGATTCAAAATGACTAATTTCCAAGCTGAGACAATTCAGCCCCATCAGGAACATGACGTATCTCTTGGTCAAAGGAGTTCTTTCAGGTGGGAGTGCTCTACCATGGCTGTCAGAACAATTTACTGATTTCCCTGTAAAAACAATAAATATTTGTCTCATTTTCTAGGGTGAAATTAAGCAGCTATAGCAGAGGCATACCTGGCTAAGAAGTCAACCAGTCATCTGTGGGGTGGCTCTGAAGCAAGCACCAGTGAAGTGTGAAGGCATGCTGTATCATCAGAGCTGACAGCTCTTCATCAGATGTGTTTATTTCTTGGTGCTCTGCTTTCTTGTTTGTATGTCAATCAATGATCATTACTCTTCTTGGAGCAGCTGTAAGTAGTCAGGTTTCTCCACTGATTTAAATCTAAGCTGACCTGGTAATGTTGAAACCCATGGGGTAGAGGACTGTGTTGGTCCAAGGATGTGGTGGGTGAGTCAGTGCCCCCACCAGCCCTGCTGCAGCAGAGACAGTGGTTCACAAGGCACAAGGCAGTCTGGAAGCAAAAGCATTTTCTCTGTCAGTCTGTTCTCAGATAGATGTTAGAGCGTGACTGCACTCACCACAACTGGTGTGTTCTTCAGGGAGGACCCGGTGCAGATTCTTCTTAGGCCTAACAAGAGCTTCACATGCTGGCCAAAACCTCAGCCCTGTGGTTAGAAAAGGAAAATGAAACCAGGAAAAGAAAACCTTCTGTGTCTTACGTCTCTGGTTCTTCATGAGTGCACCTGGGAGGAACAGCAGCATGCCAAGGCTCATTCCTACAAACCCCTGCTCTGATGAGAGGCTGCTTAAAGGCTGGACAGGGCTTGGAGCAACCTGGTCTAGTGAAAGGTGTCTCTGCTCATGGATGAGCTTTAAGGTCCCTTCAACCCAAACCATTTTAGGATTCTATGATCCTCTTTCTGTGGGGGTCACACCATGCTCAGTGGACTGTATCCTTCCATTGATGTTCATTTAGAGAATCCAGACTGAGAGAGAAGTGGTTGCTAAAGTGAGAAAAGTGCTGGCTGTGTGAACAGGATGGGTTTGAGTCTGTTCCAAATAGACCCCAAGCATCTCCCCAGCCTGTGAACCCCTTGGTTTGTCTGTGCAAAATAAAGGAGGACAGGAAAGAAAGGATCCTGTTTCCAAAATATTTGACTGTGGAAGCTTTTTTAATTTTCTCATATTAAAAAAAAGAAAAAAGAAAAAAGAAAGAAAAAAGGAAAAAAAAGCACATTTTGGTTCAAATCCCAAAATTTTAGTATTCATTTAGAATGTTGGGGAAAAAATGGTTTCAGAGTTGTCAGCCCGTGTTTGAAAGGAAATAGCAGCAGATTACTTTGCTCTGAAATGATGGTTTATTAATGTAGCTAATCCCATAGTACTAAAGAAGCCATGATCTAAAGGAAATGTTTTAAAACTGTGGAAGGGAAATGTTGCTGTCAGCCTGACACTGAGACATTCTTCTGTTGATGATGCTTCTCAAGAATAGGGCTTTTTGTCTGGATTTGAGATGGGAGTGGTTTGAGGCTTCTCAAACCCTCCAGGTATACATGAAATCTGAGACTACAGCAAAGCAGGGCTTCAATTCCTGAATTGTCATCTTTTACTCCCCTTCTTTATGGAACCCTGACAGGATTTTTGACTTCTCTTCATTCCAGTGCTCCACTGGTAGCTGCACAAAAATTACAACAGGATCTCTTCACCTTCAGCAATCCTACACCAGTGCCCTTGAATACAGCTCTCACAGGGACTTGCTCCCATGCTTGTCTCCTCTAGTAACCTGTGGAGGAAGTGTAAAGAGGCAATGTCCTCCTGTCAGATAGAAATCAAGAACTTTAAAATCTATTCCCAGGCCTGCTGTTTGCCTATTTTATGTATTGAGAGGTCTTGTCACATTTTAGTAGCGGGTTTTTCCTTGCTCATAGCTCATTTAGTTTATAGGTGGATTATTTATTTATTCACCTTCCCTTGAGGTCTTACAGCTCCTTTCATAATTTGCTCATGCAGACCAAAATGGATCTCGCTGGATGTCTTGCCCCTCCATTTTCCCCATTAAAAAGGGCGTTTTCATGAGCTGTGCCCATGGTGAGTACTTGGATTGCTCCATAGTGGTTTGATGGCTGCCCATCACCCTCAGTCCATGTGTGTTGGTGGCAGATTGGGTCCCTCCTGCTGAAGTGGGAGTGATTAGAGGAGGATGGAAACTGTGATGAGATGATTCCCATGTGCATCAGCAGAAACAAAATGTCATTTCCATTGGAAAATATTTCAAGGTGTTTCAGCCTTTCAAGATGAAACAAAATCTTCCCTTGCAAAATGTCAGTTCCAGCCATTGTTCCAGTTTGACTTCTCTGTTCCAAGGAAAACAAATACATTTTGACTTGAAATGGCTAATGCTGATACCAGCTCAGAATCAGCCCTTCCCTACCATGCGCTCAGAGTTAGGAGAGGATCTCGTTGTGATCCAAACCATTCTTGCTGTTTTTATTCCAGCTTCTCCAAACAGAAAATTTCCAGCACTTTTTGTACAATTGGCGTTGTTGCTTTCCCTCCTGCCCTGGGTGATGCCTGGGTCATCTCTTGGGCTGCACCCCAAAATGGAAGACAAAGCTGACAGCAGCAAGGTATCGCCAAACGTAAACCTGAATGTTGAGCTTCTAGATGCTAAATAACAACACTAGAGGCAACCCCACGGGGAAAAGGCACCCTACAAAAACACATTAAGAAATCTGAACTGCTTTGGGCATGCAAAAATGGGTCTGTCAAAACCAATTTCTAGTAGAGCTGGACAAAACACATGTCAGCAGGGGTTGGTGGCTGCCAAATCTCACAACCACCCTGCCTTGCATTCAGCGTGAGAAGGACAGGTTTTATTAGCTTGTTTTTGGTTCACTGCTTATTGAAATTCAGGCTGGTTTTATTTAGTGGGTTGGCCCTTACACAGTGGCAGCCAAACCACACGCACACGCTCTCATAGCATCAGGAAGTTTGGAAGACTTCAAACTAAACAAGGAGCTTTTATGAAACATCTAAGTAATTGGAAAAAAATAGAATTAGATGATTATGCAATTTTGTTGGCACTCTTGTTGCCATCATCATTAAATTGGTCAATATATAGGATAATAAAAAATGGTTTGCTCCATATTAGTGGAGACTGAACCATTTTCCTTGCAAACACAGAACTCTCATTCTGTGACTTCAGGACTTGTAGCAGTATGAGCAGAGTCTTGTGGCCAGATATTAGGAATGAGATGTGCTGATTTCACTCTCTTTTATCCTCTTTTTATTGAATTTAACCTTTTTCTTTTTCCAAGACAGAAGTAGACAAACATTCAAACTTTGTGGCTTAACTGTCCTTACCACAACCTCAAGAGGGTATTGAATCAGAGCTGTGATCACCGCACAATGTTTGGTCTAGCTCCTTTCATGCACTGGGGTAATATTCATTAAAGCTTTTGTGTATTTAATTTAGTTATTTATTTATGTATTTAATTAAATGACAATTCACATGATGGCTGCCAGAGCAGTCTGAGGTCTTTCAGAGGTGGCAGAACAGCTAAATAAAGTAATTTCCAAGGTAAAAGGTCAATATAATCAACAAGCATCAGCTCTCTGAGGAAGTGAAGATTTCCAGTGGGATGTGACAGATGTAAGCACATGGGTCTCTGAAGCTCTGAAACCATGAAGACCATCTCAGCCCTTCTGCCCCTTCTGGGGGCTTTTGTGGAGACTCTTGTAGTCACATTGATCCCTTGTCAGAGAGCAGGGACGTGTCACCAGGAGTGAATAAGAGGATGCTGCATCACTCATAGTGAGGCGTCTTCCACATCGCCTGCCAGGCCTTCGCAACAGGAGGAGGCTGAAGCATGAGCTCTCCATCAGCTCTGTGCCTGGGGAGGCCAGTGCTTCTGGACTGCACCCAACTGAGAGCAGTTGTTGAGGTAGGTGATGCCCAGATGTCACCACCTTCTTCCCTGTGCTTCTTTCTTTCCCCACCAGCAGCCTTCTGGTTAGGACTGCCCTTGAGCTACTGTAGGTCTGATTTGGTCACACATCCCCCCTCACCACCTAGGATAGCACCTTTGTAGGCCTTCTACCAGGGATTTAACACCACACCTATGAGCAGCAGCAGGTTTTGGTGCTGCCAGATGCAGTTTTCTTGGCGTGAAGTAACAGATTTTCCCTGCAACTGATTTCAAGGCACAGGAGAACCTGGGAAAAGCTGTCTCTCTCAGGTATGGAGGTCTGTGGAGGAATCAGGGTTAAGGAATTTTATAAACATATCTGAGACTTTACCTTTCTAGGCTGGAGAACCTTGCTTTGGGGCACTGTTCCTGAAGTGTTTACCGACTGTGAAGTTTATTGGCAGTGGGCAGAGTTAAATTAGGCTGCCTCATCATGATCACTTGAAGCAATTTCAAGGAAACGCAATCCTGCTTTGAATGGCACAGACAGATCCTTGTCTGCCTCTCTTAATTGCTTTACTACAGGATACTGATGCTTTAGATTGCAAATCCTTCAAGGCAAGGACTTGTCTCTTTGTTCTGGGTTTGCAGAACACATCCTGCAGCGAAGGCCAGGGATCTGGCCAGACTACAAACACCTGGTTATTTTGCATAGAGTGCGAGGAGGTCTTTATACTGGTGGCTCGAGGGTGTAAGAGTTGTGGAGTCCTTGCTGGCACAGCCCTGCTGAATGCTGACCTCCGGTATTCACAACAATCATGTTGCACTGAGTGATGCACATCATCTTCCATCCCTGCAATTGTTCTTGTTTATGGTGGGGCAGAATTTACTGCACATGCAAATGTCATGCAAATGACTATCTGGGGAGGGTGTGGAATTAATAATCTTAATTCCAATCTTCCAGCTCCTCCTTATACTAACCATCAGAGTTCCTTCTCTGGAATGTGCTGAGCAAAAGGTCCCAGCATCCCCCAAACCTCGGGGCTGGCATCTCCAAAAGCTGCTGCAGAGAAAGGAGAGGTGAAAAAGGTACTGCAGAGAAAGAAGAGTAGGCTGGGCCAACAGGGACCCACCAAAATAATCCACACACCGGGTCACCGCCAGTATAACTGAAGAGCATTTAATACATTAGAGCAGGGATTCAATTGATGGTGAGACTCAAATGGCCTAATTATAAGCAAGACTCACTTAGAAAAGGCAGAGGAAAAAACAAATAGCTGTTTAAGAGATATGACACCAAGTACCACCAGGGTTCACATTTAAAAAGCATTTCCTCCATTCCTGTAGACTGGAGGAGTTCACTATAAGACCACTTACAGTACTCTTAAAAGTGGAGAGGATTTCTGATTTCTTCTCTGCTGGTTTTAAAGACTCATCCTGCCAAAATCAACAGTCTCTTAGCTTCCAGGCTCTGCAATCACCTTCAAGGTGCAGTTGCAGCTATGCAAAGCTTGTCTTACCATTTATTCTTCGATAAGGCACCTTTCTCCTCCCATTGACCTGCAAGAGGTTTAACTGACTAGGTTTGCATATGGGATGGAGAGCACAACAGAGGTGCATAACGTATTTATTGGTCAGCAGTGCAGACAGGTATGTTCTGCTTCAGGTTAGGTGGTTGTGGGCAGCCAGCCATGGGAGGGATGGTTTAATGCTGACATGCACCTCTGCTACCATCTTTAGTATAAATTATCTGCTCTCCCATCCCACCTTGACTTCACTCCTAATCTCTGGTGGTGGCCTTGGCCAGAGGGTAAGCAGTATCACATCCTGCTCGGCAGCTTCACTTTTGCTTGTCCAAAAAGCTCCTTGGTACATGCCTCTCCACCATGGGGACTGTGGTGATCCTTCCCTGAAGGCTGGAGCACCTCCTCGGCTGCTGCTAAACCACCTTCCCCTCATGCCGAGGAGCAGGTCAGGCTGTGGGCCAGCCAAGCCTGTTCTTCAGGTATGGCTGTGTACCTCCCTCTGACCAGTATTTCTGCTCCAGATCAAATATACATTGCTGTAAATTAAACCCAGCCTGTTATGGTCTGTAATTTCCATTGCAACCACAGGCACTGGCAGGAACTGCTGGTTCATGCTTCCCCACTCTGTCCCCTTTGGTCCTCATCCACCACCAGCCACACCACCAGCCATGCAGAATAAATGGGGTTTCTAGGGGGTGGGTTTGGCATGCTGGTCTGCAACCCCAAGGTCTGGCTCTGGTACCTGTGAGTCTGAAACCCTCCAGGAGCCTAAGGCCTTCGTGTTTGCTTCTGCTTAAGCTTGTGGTGTTCTGGTACTGGTGTGCAGTGAGTAAACTGGAGGCTGCATGGCTCCAGGAAGTTTGTGTTCAAGCTGTATGAGGTTCCCAAGTAAACAGGGAGATCACCTTTCGCTCTCTTCCTAGTCCTGCTCGCGACAGCACTACCCACAAAGCAGGAGACCCTGCACGTCTCTGGCAACAACCTCTAGGCCTGTGCCTTTTATGAGCTGAATTTCAGGCTCTGATCCCGTTTTTGTTCTTTCCTCTCTCTTGCAGAGCCTTCCCAGGTCTTTCCAACACAATGTGATTCTCTAAGTAGAAAATCTACATCTGTCCATCCTCACGTCCCATGGTTGTCCTTGGTGGTAGGAACTGCCAAACCCTATGTCTGAAAAGACTAGAAGTTCACTTGGATCAGATCTCACTTCCTTCTTCTATTGAGCCAGGGAGTCCTGAGGTCCAGTCCTTTCTCCAGCTTCTAGTTTTATCCAACAGCAGATGATTTCCCAGGCTGGGGGAAGGCATACAGGCTTGCTATGGGCTTCCCTGCTACTGCTGGATCATATGAAGCTACCAAAGAGTATGGAAGGCAGATGAGTCTTCTGGATCCACACCATTGGAGCAAGCGAAATAACTTCTGATCTAGCAGGACCCAGATTCCTTGGGATGTCTGACCACTCAGTTCACATTTTGATAGCTCATGATAGGAAAATGAATTCCTTGGTCCATCATTCCCTTGTGGCTGGGGGTGTCTGGCTCCACACTATGGATGCTTCAAGCAGGTCTGTATAAAATGAAATGCTGATTGCAGCAGTATTTCATTATCCTAAGTCACTGACGGGGAGGCTACTTGGAAAGAAACACTTCCCTTTAAGAAATATCTTCTGGTCCAGCTTCAGATGTAGCAGGGACTGTCCTACTGTGCATGCGCAGCACAGAGCAAAATCATCTTCCACTCTGGGATGCAGTGTCTCTTCATCTAATCTTCCCAAGGCCAGGAAGATCTTCTCAGTTGAGTCTCAGTTGGATTTGATAATCCTTAAAGGTCCCTTTCCAGCTCCAGGTGTTCTGTGATTCAGTGTGGGTGGGTATATACTGCCTCTCAAAGCCCAAAGGCCATATAACCTTTGAGAAGAATAGGGATACTGTGAAGGGAAACTGAGATGCTTCAGGACTTGACAGATTGAAACCAGCTGGTGAAGCAGAGCTAGTGTGGTCCTCACCTCATGAAAGCTTCAACCCACTGCTTGGTAGAAAGGAGTAAGGAGGATGATGCAGGGAAAGAGAAGAGCTTTGGTCATGTTGAAAGAGTTTGACCCAATCTCCTCCCCAGCAGAAGAAACGTGGCTTTTGAGGGTTCTGATGCTCAGTGAACAAGGTGGGCTTTTCCTGGTATCAGAAGGACCTGTCTCAGTTCCTGCAGAGCTACACCAGTGTGAGTTTGATCTGCGCATGGGAAATGTGCCCAGTGGGCAGATTTCAGTTGATGGCTTGTTTTGGATGATGGGAGATGGCAGGGTACAGAATGAGCTGGTGGTGTGCATGAATAGCTGTGGGCCTGATTCACCTTTGCTAGTTGAAGCAGCTGGATCCCACTTAGCATCAGTGAGGTCTTCTTTCAGCCAATGTCTTGGCCAGGGCAGTGTGACTGCTGTAGGAGGAACGCGTTTCAAAGGCTGAGAAAGAAATGCTGCCCCAGGAGCCACATAAAATGAACCAAACCCTGTCAAAGTGTGATATTTCCTGCCAGGCACTTAACATCAACCGATCACACTAACAAAGTATCATGAGAAGAATCTGAAACCAAACTCTCCTCCCCCTGTCAGCACCATCATAAATCACTTTCATGCTCTGCACTTGTCTGCAGACCAAACTGTTCCTTGCCAAGGCTGTAACCCTGAGGGGATGGAAACAGAGGAGAGTCCTTAGAAAGAGGTAAGAGTCCCCTGTTTTCCGATGTTCATCTCATTTTGTTAATCCTGTTGTACTACCCCTTTTCTGAGGTCTGTAATTTAAAAGCAATAGTGGTAGAAGAAAGCTAGAGCTGAATTTGTGTCCAAGGGCTGGAATTTCAATTCCAGCAGGATAAAAGCTTGGGAGATGTCAGTAGTGCTCTCCAATAGTCCCATTGCCAGGCAGGGCAGAGGCTTATTGGGCATCACACCTCTTCCCTGGTACATTTTTCTGCATGGAGACAGATCTCTATTGAAAAGCTGAGGCTAGTGGCTGAAACAGCTGCTGTGTGGAGGTGGTTGTTATAACAAAGTGAGCATTGCGGATCTCTGCAGAATAAACTGAGAAGACAGGGCTATTAGTGAGCAGGGCAGGCAGTGCCTGAAAAATGAGCTCAGCAGCATGCTGGGCTCATGGGGAGGATGAGACGTGAGCAGAGGACTTGTTGATTTGCTTGAACTTTTCTATTGGTGAGGCTGAAACTTTGTCTCTTACCATTGAGTGGCAGAAAAAAGGGTTTGACTAACTCTGATAGGTGAAAAGGTTCTCTTCACATCACGTCCTGAACCTACATCTGGTGAATTTGGGAATGGAAGTGGAAAAAGATGGGAAAACAGGGTGCCTTTTTTTTTTTCTTTTGCCACCATAGGCCAGTGATACCATCCTGTCCCTGCAAGTGGTGCTCCTGGGACAGGGTTCAGAAGCAGGGAAGCTGACAAGCCCAAATGAGCTGTTTATATCTTAGCGATGCTCATTTTCATGCTGCTTTCAAGCCCTGCGCCTGGTCTGACTGGTGCTGGAGCCCAAAGATCCTGAGCTGGGGGTCCTCTCGAGGGATTCGGAGGAAGGGAGCACCCATGGAGACTCTCCTACAGGTTCAATGCACCCTCTCGTGGCAAGCAGCTATGGCAGGTGCCTGGGCAGGGTCTGTGTGTCTGTGGGTGCTCGCTGTTTGGGGCTTGGCTCCTTGGCATCATACCCGGGGCGTGCATAGTGACTTGCCAGCCATCCCATGGAATGGTTCAGGGATCTGGTTTCTCTAGGCTCAGGACACCCCAAAGCATGCTTCACCGTTTCCCATGGGGTGTGCCCACCTCCCTCTCCCCCTGCTTTATGCAGCAAAAAAACCAAGAATTCATACGAAATACTCCAAGCTGGCTTTCCCTCAGCTGGGACCAACCTGCCCTTTTCCTCCCTGTGAGGAGCCTGCAAAATGAATCAGTGCTTTGCATAGGCAGAGCCCTGGGAAGGTATTGCTAAAACACCAGTGCTCAGGAGCTTCACAGATGTGATTTTCAACACGAGAGAAAAGCAGAAGGTTTTTTTCTTCCGTAACCCTTTAACCCAGGGAGGGATTTCTATGGCCACCCAATTTCCCCCCTCCCACCGCCCAGGAGCCAAATCTCAGCTTCCCAAAAGGTGCCTCCCCTTCCTCTCGCCCCTTCAATACTAACCCCCCAGTTGTTTTCCCTGCTGAAGCGCTGCACTGCTGGTGCCAGTGCCTTGTCCAGCCACGTCCTGCACCCTTGGGCAATGAGCAGGGCAGAGGGGAGCTGCGGGGTCAGGGCGCTGGGTGTCCCCCAGGGGTGGGCACGCATTGTAGCAGCGCCGTGGTCTCCATTCTCAAGGAGCCCTTGCTCCCACCTGCTCCGTTCATGCTGGCTTTGGCTTCCTGCGACTTTAAAGTTCCTTCGGTGCACAAAGGAAAAGAGGGAGGAGAAAGGGTTTCATCATCACTCCCCAGAGCAGACTTATAAAAACTTTGCGCTCACGCTGCCTGCCTCACTCACAGGCTTACAGGGTTTTCGGCACTGACTGCGCGCTGTGAGGAGCAGGACAGGCCAGAGAGGGACGGGACCCCACACACAGCATTGCTATTTGGGGCTCCCCTGGAAGCCCCCATGATGGGAGTCCACCCTGAAGCCAGCAAGTCCCCAGCTGACGTCCCCAAAAGCTCCGGCACCTGCTCCAGGAGTATCTTCTGCAACATCAAGGTAAGCAGCAGTGCCGGGCAGGGATGCGCCTGCCTCCCTGGTGGCGAGGGAGAGCACTTGCACCGAGAGCAATGCCAGCCCATCCCACAGGTCCCCGCATTCCCAATCCAAACTGCCAGTAAAACGAAGGGTGCTTGCTAAGATGCAGAATTTGGAAGTCAGCTCCTTGGGCAGTGCTGGCACCGCTGAGGTGTGTCCTGCTCGGCACAGGAAGGGCTGGGGGGCCTGGCTGTGTTTCAGTGGTACCTGGCACGGCGTGTGGGTGTTGTGCTGTGTGGAAGTGGCGTGGGCAGCTCTCCGTGAGCGGTGGGGTTTACCCACGGTGTCCGGTACGCTGTGTGCTGCTGCTTAGGGAATGATTAACCACATCCTGGTGCAAAAAGAAAACGCTGCCCTATCATAATGCTGACTTGCTTTAAAAACCTTGGTGAGGAGGGCTTTGGAGTGACAGAAGCAAAATCTCGGCAGGTTGAAGTGGGTTTTCTGGTGCTGGCTGCCTGGTTACTCACCTGCTCCTATTAGCAAAGGCTGTCATCCGAAAGCCGGTTCTTGCCTGAACTTCAGGCTCTTAAGCTCACTGCCCGCATGGGAAAACACCAGCCCATGGCCACCTCTTGTGTTTTGAACCCTGCTTTTACACCATCCCTCGCCCTGTCTCTTTTTTTGACCCATGCAGCACATTTTGGCCCATTTTGGATGGGCACCAGGACTGTTGCATGTATTGATTCCTGTCCCTGGGACATCCGCCTGCCAGCCAGGATTTCCCTGGGTGGGGGGGATGTTCGTGCCTCTCTTGGCAGCACCTCCGTACATCGGCATTCAAAGCAGCTGGGTGAAGGTTTTGGAATGGGAGCTCCCAGGGGTTTTGCAGCTTTGGGTACATGAGAAAGGGGACACCCTCTCCAGGACCCCTTCCTGCTGCTGCTGCCAATGGTGCCCAGGGCTGGGGTGCGATTTCCCACTGGTGTTCTTGACTGTGAGTGTGTTGTTTGCTGTGAGGAGAGGTTTGTCAGCACTTTCCAGCTAACTGTGTTCCAAGGAGTGTGCAGCCATGGGGAGGGCACTGTGGTCTGGGATGGGTTTGGGGTTTATTTTCCACCCATCTTTCCTCGCCTTCCCCGAAGGATGGCACTGCCCACTGCTTTTTGGGCTATGCTTGTTTGTGGCTGGTTACTGGGCAGCAAAACTTTCACCAAATCATGGTGGGGGGAGCCAAACAGTTCTGTTGGGGTGCTGTGGGAATGCTGTAAGGTATCATGGGGCTGCTCTCAACAGGCTGCTCCTCCTCCTCCAGGCTCCTGGGGCTGGAGACATCATCCCAGGTGATGTCGTTCAGCCCTACATCCCACTGTGCTATTCCAGCAGGTGACTTGATGGCCCCTTCTGGCTGTGAGCTCCAGGAGGAAGAGTTACCCTGTGTAATTTAGGGCTGCCTCCAGCCTACTCTGGAAGGTACTGGTCACCTCACCCCTCCTCTGCTGGAGGTGCAAAAGGTGGCCCTAAAGCCCATCGGCTGCTCCAGTAATTGCCATGGCTTGGAGTGAGTAAAGTCACCCCCAAACTGAGCCCTTCTTGCAGCTCCTGCTGTTTCCTGGAAATGTGCACAGCTCCTTTCAGCTGTGTGCTCACAGGGCAGCACGCAAAAATATCCTGGATCTGGACAAAACATCCCCAGACTTGATGCCTTTTTCAGGATATAAAACTTCAAGGTTTGAAAAAAAGCCCAGCAAATACGTGTTAATCCATTTCTGCATCCTATAGGCAGGATGCGGGCCATGGGTGCCCCTAAGGGAACACCAGCATGTGCGAAGAAAACCACTTCTGTTTTAAAAAGTCAACAGCCCAACACTGGCATTGTGCAAGTGTGTTAAGAAACAGTTTGAGCCCTATTAAAACATGCTTCTTGGCACCAGATGATGTGTACCGTCTGGAATGGTGGGGAATCAGGACATCCATCCCTTGGAGAAAAGTTCTTGCTTTTAAGAGCAAATGTATGTAATTGACAGGCAGTGATGTCCCCTACCCTTTCCTGAGCTCTTCATTCTTCCTCTGCTGTGATATTTGTGTTAAAAGTCTATATACTTTTAAAAAACAACTGCTTCAAGGTAGGAAAGCACTGCCTGTGCACAGTTGTCAGTCCATCCTCTCAGCCCCTCCCAGAGTAACAGAGAATCTAAGGGTCACTAATGAATTTCCAGGTTTGGCAAGCTCTTTTGTTGTGAATGGGTCATCAGAGGACAAGGCATACTGTAAGCATCTCGGTTTATATGGCTTTATAGCACTTGCTTGTTATGAGAAGCCATTGGTGCTGCACATACCGTATTATCTAAAGTCTTCATCCAGTACCTAATTGTGTGGGAAATTGCTGGCACCATCCCATACAGAGACAGGTACTCTATAAAGGAATTAAAATTAATAAGAGACAGCTTCCTCATAGAAACAACAGCAGTTTCTGACAGAGACACTCTTTCCAGCACAACAAAATTCGCCAGCCGTAGCAGGCTCCAAGTCTTGATCAAGAAGTTCGTATTTAATCCATAAAGCTCACATGCCAGGATCATTTTTGGAGTTCCTTTTGCATGGCTGGTGCCAAAAATAATGAATTGCTTTGCTATGTTAACCATCCCGCTCTTCCTTGCTCCCAGCAATGGGGACCACTGCCTCCCTGCACTGTTTCCTGTTGCTCTTGGAGTGTTTTTCAGCCCTAGCCCCATTGCTGCTGATATTCAGAGGCGTGGGATCATGATGATTCTGGAGATGGGCATCAGAAAGGGAAAGGTCCTGGTGGAAAATAGTGGAATTATAGAATCCTGGTTTGGATATGAAGGGACCTTACAGTTCATCCAGTTTAAAACCCTGCCGTGGGTGGGGACACCTTCTTCTAGACCAGGTTGCTCCAAGCCCCATCCAACCTGGCCTTGAACACTGCCAGGGATGGGGCAGCCACAGCTTCTCTGCGCACCCTGTGCCAGCGCCTCAGCACCCTCACAGGGAAGAGCAGGATGGGGATGACAGCTATGGGGATGGATGGTGTGCAAGGGATCGCTGCTGGGGATGCAGGAGTGGTGCAGAAGCAGGTGCTTGAGGAGCAGGCAATGTCCTGTGGATGTGGCCGCTGGCTCATACCTGTGCTCTGACACAGCAGGCATTTACAGCTGATCTCTGTACCCTATGGGAATGGGGTTCGTGGCAGTTCCTTGTTGCTGCTGTGGAAGTTACTCCCTGTTACATGTGGGTATTAATGACTGTAGCTAATACTGCAATTACTCCAAGTGGCACCAAGGCTCTGTCTACACTGATACTTAAGGGCACCGCCTGGCTCAGCCAGCAGCGTGTTTGCTGTCTGCACTGTATCTTGTAGCTGGAGTAAACCTGGTCATTGTGCTTATGTTTCTGAGTGCTCTCTCAGATGTTGCTTGAACTCTGCTAGAATCTGGCTGTTTATCTTGAATCACCTTAAAGAGAGAAAGCAGAATGCAAAAGGACTTCAGGTTTTGGAGCTGGGAGGTTGCTGCTGAGCACTGTCCCCTAGAAGAAGTCTAGAGCATCTCAGTAATCCTACAGCAGTGGTGGACATAGGTGATAATGAGCAAGGGCATCATCCTTTGAATTGAACAGAGAATGGAACTTTGTAGTTCACCAGAGCTTCCAGGCTTGTGCTGACTGGCACTGGGATTTTAGGAGGTTGCAGTTGTGCTGCTTGGCAAATGCAGGATGAAGCCAGCTTCGGGTGGATGCCAACACCCAGTGGCACTGGAGACACTGAAGAGCCTAAAGGAAGAAAACAGATTCAAAAGCTGAGGTGCACAGTTAGCCTTTTTGATACCCATGCATGGCCCATCAATGTCCCTGGGTCCAGAGTCCTAACCACTGTCTCCAATCATCTTGTCCATGCCCATCTTGCCCTTTCAGACATCCACTGAGAAAGGATTATATCAAGGCTGTTATCTATCTACAGCGCCTCAGATATTTTGGCTTTTTCACCTTTATTGTCTCTCCCATGGTTTTGCGCTGTTTTTATTGATAGTGAATTGCTTGTGCAGGATCCCCAGAAACATGAAAAGGAGGAGAGCTTTATAAATATCTTGTTGCTTAGTGGAGTTGGACTGGTTTCAGCTGGAAGCCTGTTAGCTGGAGTTGTGCAGGGGAGCAGTGCGAAGCGGTTGGGAGAGCAGGCAGGGGGAGGCTTTTACCCTGTGACTGCCCAACATGGAAGAGGAAACAGGAGGATAACAGAAAGTTTTTGTCACTTATGTCAGCTGGAGGGAGTCCAGGGAGAGATTTAAAAGTCTTAGGGGCAGATTTAAATTGGGTGTTATATTGGGATAGGGAGAGGAATGGTATGGAAAAGTGTAGGGAGGGGGGACAGCAAGATCAGGAGGGAACTGTGGACTCTCAGAGTGTGTTAAGGCTTTAACTCATTGCAGGGTGAAGATGCTGGGGCAGGTGGTGTGCAACGGCCAGGAGTGGGGAGCTCTCCTTTCACTGGGGAGGCTAAATGCCTTCTGCAGAAGAAACAGGAGCCTTGCCTTGGGCTCTGAGGTCCCAACAGCACCAAGGCAAGTTTTTTGTCCCTGCCTTTAAAGGGACTAAAGGAATTTGCTGAGATTAGTGTATTTCAGAAGCCTGGAGATATAATAGTTGTGATCTCATGTCCTGTTGGAAAAGAGTGTGAGTTGCTTTTCTCAGCTGTTAGCAAGAACAGGAGATTCATCATTCATCTGAAGACTGTGTGGCTGTAGGTTTGGAGTGGGAAGCATCAAGAGGAGAAAGTCATTGTTGATTAGGGCCATTGACTAAAGCACAAAATCAAAGACTATTCCAGTACTGAGCGGTGTGCAAGGAAAGGTGGCAAGCTGGATGAGTATTTGTAAGTAGTGAAGAAGCAAGCTTGGTCATTAGGACAAATGGGGTTGCATAGGGAGAAACACCTGCTATGACCAGGGTCTTCCAGCATTCCTGGTGATGGTGCTGGCATCAGAAAACAAAGATTGGGTTTG